GCCACCCCAGGGCCCAGTGAGCGATGCCCGCAGCCTGGGAGCGAGATCCAGGAACCCGCTGAGGCCCGCCCAGCCAATTGGAGTTGCCTGCAACACGTTCCAGCCAAACACAAGCTGGTGCGCTTACTGCCTGGGCAACCCAACCAATCATCGTTTTCCGCGGTGCCTCCTTCACCTCCCGCTATCCTTCGAGGTGCACACGCGCCCTGGGCGCCCCCTCCTGGCCCGATGGTGCTCAGAGGCTGCAATCTTCAGGCTATGCCCCACCAGTATAGAATGTGCCACCGTAATCATTGCTATTTATCAATGGTGACTCTGGATTGATACATATTTTCATCACATTTTCTATTTTGAGACTAAACATCCCAGGCTAGTATTAATACGTAGCAAAGTATGGCATCTCACTCATGATCCTCCTACTTGCACCTCTTAAATCTGAGATTACAGACCACGACCATATAGAAAGAATATCATAATTCAAAAAACAAAGTTTTGGGTCTACTAGATGACGACTACGCCTACTAGTTGTCTCCAAACCTGACGACTAGAGCTCCGGAGACCCACAAAGTGGGAAGAGAGAAGCAATTCCTGTCATCTGTCCTCTGACCCCCAAACCCGTGGCACAAACACACACAAATAAATAAAGTACTCTAACACAATGTTTTGGGTTGAGTACGCAAAGTGCTTTCCGTAGCATGCATGAGGCCCTGATTCCAGTCCTCAACCCTACATAAATCAGGCATAATGTCTCTAACTCAGGGGAGATGGAGGCAGGAGGATCAGAAGGTGCTCAAGGTCACCCCCAAGTTCAAGGCTAGTCTGAGGTAGATGGGGAGGGGCAATATGCAATATGCATTATATACGTTAAAGTTGCCAATACTTGTGACTGACAAGCAGGTGAGATTCTGGTAAAGAAAAAATAAATAGTGGTTGAAGCCTGTAATTCTAGCATCTGGGAGGTGGTGGTAGGAGAACCAGGAGATCAAGGCCAGACTCGGCTACATAGCAAGTTTAAGACTACCTTGGACTACCTGACATTCTGCCCCATATGTGAAATGAAGCAAAGAGGAAAAAAAGAAAAGACAAAAGGGTTAATCTCTTCAAAACTGATATTGGAGGGTACTGGATAGATGGCTCTGTGGTTAAGAGCACCTCTCTCTCTCTCTCTCTCTCTCTCTCTCTCTCTCTCAGTTTTCTCTGTAGCTTTGGAGCCTGTCCTGGAATTTAAAGGTGTGCGCCACCACCATCCAGCACATTTCTTTCTCTTGCAGAAGACCAGGGTTCGATTCCCAGCATCTACAAGGTGTCTTATAGTCATCTGTAACTTCAGTTCTAGGGGATCAAGTGCCCTCTTCCAACATACATACATTTGAGCAAAACAGTCAGCACATATAAAATAAGATTTTAAGAATTAAGAAAATTTGGAGGGGCTGGTGAGATGGCTCAGTGGTTAAGAGCACTGACTCCTCTTCCAGAGGATCTGGATTCAATTCCCAGCACCCACATGGCAGCTTGTAGCTGTCTGTAACTCCAGTTCCAGAGAATCCGACATCATTATACCAATGCACATGAAATAAAGCTAAAATAAAGCTTTTTAAAAGAATAAATAAAAATTAAAAAATAAAAAGAAAATTTAGATGCCAGGCCATAGTGATGCACACCTTTAATCCCAGCACTCAGGAGGCAGAGGCAGGCAGATTTCTCTGAGTTCAAGGCCAACCTGGTATAAAGAGCAAGTTCTAGGACAGTCAGGGCTACACAGAGAAACCCTATCTCCAAAAAGCAAAACAAAAGAAAAAGATTTGAGGTCAGCCTGGTCTACAGAGGGAATTCTAGGCCAGCCAAGGCTGCGCAGAGAGACCATGTCTTGAAAGTAAGTAAACAAACAAAATTTTAAAAAAATAATAATTTGGAATTGGGATATTAGAGATTTTATTAGGATAATTAGTGACACCAGAAGGCTCTAGGGTTAATGGCCCGGATGACCCGGGGAGATTGGCTGCAATAGTGTGCGTCCCTAGCGTGTTCAAGACCCTGGACTCCATCTCCAGCGTGGGATATAGGGTATTGTCTAAACCTCCCTGAGAGCTGCCACTGGGAGCAGGTGGTGTCGGCTCACAATCCTGCTCTCCAGCAAGGAGGAAAGCCTTGTGAAGTAGAACCCATAGTGAGGTGAGGAGGAGAATCGGGAGATAACCCTTTGAGGTATGGGCTCAACTTCTTAACCTCACTCTGAACCTTTCCTTGGAGGCCCGTGTGTCCACCTTTGCGGCTCCACGAGGGGGAAACGAGACACCCAGCAGCACGAGCTGACATGGGGTAAGGACAGGTGACTGGCTGTAAGAAACATTTGGAAGTGTTCTGTAATCTGGTAGAGTAAGGATTTCAGGAAGCCTTGGCTGCTTGGGAAGGCATTGTGGGGCCTGTGCCCTCACACTATTTAGAGATCAATAGACTCAAGTAGACGGTATTTTTAACTGAGGTGATTTTTTTTTTTTTATTTAGTTGACTTTTTTCTTCTGGGGCCTGAATCCACACCGTTGAGTTCTGTGACTGAGCTATATCCCTGGTCCCTGGTGTCTATAGTTGTTTGAGATAACTAATTTAGTTCATCAAGTTTGTAAGCCATTCTAAATATCTGTACTTTAATGAGCATTAGCCAATGAATGTGTAAGTAAATTCTATAACTAAGTTATTAATATAGTGACATCTATAAGGAAAAATAATGTTTTAATTATAAACTGATTGGCCTATTACCTCAGGTTTCTTATTACTCTTATAACTTACATTAGCCCATAATTCTTCTCTGTGTTAGCCACGTGGCTTGGTACCTTTTTCTGTGAGGCAGTCACACCTTACTTCCTCTAAGGCTGGGTCACGACTTGGAAAAATACTTTTTTTAAATGTAAGCAGTTTTTAATAAAAGCTATGCATGAGACGCCCCCACTTCTGTATCTTCCCAGTCATTTCTTCCATGTATTTACCCTTCTCCTTTCCTACTTGTCAGGACCTGGCTTTCCTTGCCTCTGCCTCCCGAGTGTTGGGATTAAAGGCATATGCCATCACCACCTAGCTCCAGGATCATCCTGTGGTCTTTGTCGTCTAGCTTTATCCTGGTGATACCCACCGTGCTGGGGTGGATGCCCACATGGACAGTTGTGACATTAGCCTTTTCTCACTGCACCAGTTCAATGTAGATGACGTATCTCTTCCTGTACACTTTTACCACTTTGCCAATCTGCTGGCCTTTGTTGTGTCCTCGGACAACCTGAGCTTCATCATCCTTTCTGATGGGCACAGATCGAACACTGTGCTTCTGTCTCAACTCTTTGGAAAGAGGGAAAGACACGATCTTCCCCCGAATGTGAGAAGGTGCATTGAAATACCGTTTGTGGTTCTTGCTTCAGTCAGAAGTCACAAAGGGATTGAACTTCATTTGAGTGGCTGTGATCCCAGGGGAAAATATTTTTGAGCCTGGTGTGGTGCCTCCTGCCTGTAATCCCACCACTTGAGAAATGGAAGCAGGAAGATCAGAAGTTCAAAACCAGCCTCAGCTATATAGCAAGTTAAAGGCCTAATTTATGTAACTGGGTTACATAAGAACCTGTCTCCAAAAGGCTGGTGAAATGGCTTGGCAGGCAAAAGTACTTGCCATATAAGCCTGACATGTAACCAGGCTTTAAGGTCGAACCCACAGAAGAAGGGGAGAACTACCTCCCAAAAGTTGTCTCCTGGCCTCTGATTTATGGTACACACACACTGACCATCACACACTATCATACACATGCAAAATAATAGTAAATTAAATAAACTAGAAAACATGATATTTGGGGCTGAAGAGATGGCTCAGTGGTTAAGAGCATTGCCTACTCTTCCAAAGGTCCTGAGTTCAATTCGCAGCAACCACATGGTGGCTCACAATCATCTGTAATGAGATCTGATGCCCTCTTCTGGCCTGCAGGCATACACGCAGACAGAATATTGCATACATAATAAATAAATAAATAAATAAATATTTTTAAAAGAAAACATAATGTTACTTTTATTTTTTAATTTTAATTATTATTTTATGTGCATTGGATGTTTTGCTTGCATGTGTCTGTATACTATGTGCATGCAGTACCCTTGGAGGCCAGAAGAGGGAGTCAAATCGCTGGTATTCCAGACACCAGTGAGCCGATTTGTGAGTGCTAAGAATTGAAATCTGGTCCTCTAGAAGGGCAGCCAAGTGCTCTTAGCTGAATCACCTCTCCAGACCCCACCTTATTTTTTGGTACCCTGTGATTGGCCTTGAACTCTGATTTCTCCTGCTCAGTTTCTCGACCCTGCTTCTACCTTTCAAGGTTAGACAGAGTACAGCCATCACACCCAGCTTCTTTAACAACTTAGGTGAATGATTAAAAATTAAAACAAGTTCTAAAGTGTTCTTTTGCGTGGCAAACACTCCCTAAATCCTAGACCCCCAGGACCCTATTCAGAGGCAGTCTTTCTTCTCCAGTGCTGGAGGCCAAACCCAGGGCCTTGAACATGACAGGGTTCAGTTGAGGTACACACCCAGCCAAAAGACCCCTAAACTGGACATGTTTCCTCTAGACTGGAGGCAATCTAGTTTGTTGTCATGTCTTCCATTTTGAATAGAGCGCCTGGCAGAGTCACATTGTCACCTGGTGAGTGGTGAGTCAGGATGTACCACCCTCATCAAAATCAGCACTTCTCCATGACACAGAGGCAACAAAGAATCATACGGCTTTATTGATACTGCAGCCCAGAGGATACCACAGGCAGGGAAGTGTCCTGGGCAAGCCTTGAGATCCCCCGGCTGTGCTCCCCCAACCACGCTCTAATGCAGAGACCCTCGGGGCGGGCAGGGGACAGGCTCAGCGCTCAGCATTTCCCAGAAGGGCAGTGTCCTGGGGAGAGGCAGAAGAGCATTTCAGGCACTGGGGATGTCTCTGAGGTCATCACTCAGCAGTCTAAGGGCCATGGAGTCTACTATCCCTCCCAAGGACTGGGGACACCTGGAGAGATGACAGTGGTGGCCCCTGAATGGAGCATGTGGGCCACCATGACTCCTCTTACCTCTGTAACGGTTTCCTAGCTGACTCTTGGTATCAGCCTTCACTTCAGAACCCCCTGCAACACAGACCACAAGACAGGGGCTTGTGGGACACCAGGGGACTTCTGCCTACCCAGCTCCTTCACCCCAGACTTGTAGAGATTCTCACTTACCAAAGTGTTCCCGTCCCAGCTCTGGCCTCAGGTGCCCATAGGGTCCTGGGAAAGAAGGGTTAGGGTAGCCAAATTACATAGCCCTGGGTCCCCTTCCTTTCCTCCAAATCTCAGTACAGCATTCAGGCTGGGCTCGGGTATGCTCCCTCCTTCCCTCTACACAGCTATGGGCGAGGCCTGGACTCAGGACCTGATACCACCTATCCACCCTTATTCACACACCCCATTTACCTGCCTGGTTCCCAAGACCTGCATATCCATAGCCTGCCTTCATTCCAGCCCCCCAGGGCTGGAGGGCTGGCCAGGGGGAGCCCTGCAGGGTTTCAGCCTGACCTGCAGAGGGAGAACTAGTATGGGTACACTATCCCCCAGAAATGGGCTCTCAGGAGGCCCCTGTCCCTCTGGCTCTAAACTGCCCTTGCTTGATTATCATCATCATCATCATTATGTTACCATTTCTCTGTAGGGTTGGAACTGTTGTCTTAGGATACATAAGAGTCTCCTCCCTGAATCCTGCAAAAGATACGTTATTTATTACTACCAGGCTCCCGACTATGGTCCATCCCCTTCCTCACTGTATCTGGTACCCTGGGTCCAACTCACCATTCCTAAAACTACTGGCTATGGGGAACCCTGGAGGATGAAAGAGAAGGTTTAGTGGGAGTGGTAATAAGTATAGCTTCCTGCCCCACATCTCAGCCCCCACATCCACCCCCTCCCCAGACACCTGACTGCAGGATCTCAGGGGAAATTCCAGCTTCCAGAGCTCCATTTCCGTAATAGAAACCTGCAGGCAGGGCAGCAAGGAGATAACAGACAGAGCAATTCAGATTGAAGAGGCAGAGCCCCAACCCCCTCCCACTCCTACCCCTGGTGGTGCAGGGATGGAATTACAGCTACTTGGGAGACTGAGGCAAGAGAACCAAAATCTCAAGGTCCGCCTGGGCTATACAAGTCTCTATCTCCAAACAGAAAAGAAAGGCTGCTGAGATGGCTCAGCCAGTAAGGCACTTGCTGTGCATGTCTGATGTGCTGACTTCAGTTCCCAGAAGCCACATAAAGATGGGGAGAACTGACTACATAAAGCTGTTCTCTGATCCCGGGCAGTGGTAGCACACGCCTTTAATCCCAGCACTCGGGAGACAAAGGCGAGTGGACCTCTGTGAGTTCCACGTTAGCCAAAAGACCAAAACATAATAATGATAATAAAAATAATATCAAAAATAGAAAGTAAAAAGAAGGAAGGCTGGGGTGTTTGGCAGCTCCACCCCCCTGATTCACTCATCTACCTCCACATCCAGTCATCCCAATGCTGCTTTCCCGCTGTTTCTCCAGAAGGCTTCCCTGACTTCCCTTCTGGGCAGCTTCCAAAGCTGCTTTCTCCCCAACTTCCTTCTGACTGTCACCGTACCCACCTCAGACAGGGTCACAACTGTCACTGGCCACCACCGTGGAGGAGTGGAGGTCGGGTGAATAAGAAACAGAACAGTGGAGTCACATTCCTGTAAGCCCAGCACTCTAGAGCAGATGGGCAGAGGCAGGCAGATTGCAATGAATTCTGACCAGCCAAGGCTACACTGTGAGATTCTGTCTTAAGAAGGAAGAGAGAGAGACAGAGACAGAGAGAGACAGAGACAGACAAAGAAACAGAGAGAGACAGCGCACCAGAAATAAAAAGTCTGGCCATGAGACAGATTTGCTTGAGGGCTTACCAACTTTCTGCAGCTTGAGGCCACGGAAGCCTGAGGGAGAGGAGATTGTGGGTCAGAAATGACCCTGGCCTTTCCCTCCCCTCTTCTGGAGGTGGAACACAGAGGAAGGGAAGGGGAGGAGAAACATCATTCTCACCCGGTTCTGCTTCAGCTCCATAGCCATTGAAGGCCTGGTAACCTGTGAAAAGGGTGGAGGTTAGCAATGGAGGGTGAAGACCGCAGATCTCCTAAGGGACACATACTGACATTAGGAGCCTTGAGGAAGTAGCAGGAACTGCCCTGCTTACATGGAACAGAGTCATAGGAAGAACTTAGAAACAGCAAGAGACTTTGAGGGTAGATTGCAGAGGGACTTCCTGGCTTTAGGGTATCTGACGCAGCTTGAGGATAATGATGATGGGAGGACCTGATGCCCGAGAGAGACAGGAATAGAGAAGCTGAGGGTTTGCCCCTCTGAGAGTCAGGACTTGGAGACAGACAGACTCACACCTGCTTTCTGAGGCTTCAGTCCCCACTGGATGGCAGGGGTTGGTGCTGGAATGAGAGACACAGAAATGAGCCCTGTGCAGGGTCCCTCAGAGCTTCAGAGAATGTGACGTCAGAAAATGCAGCCAGGCCCAGCCCCTCCCAGTGTCACATGCCTCCTGGCGCCTCCCTACCCGCAGGCTCCACACTGACCTGGGAATTTACCATTCTGCACTGGGGGTAGGAGCTGGGATTTCAGGCCCCAGCTACCTCCTTTATCTGACGGGGCTCCAGGAGTGGGGGACCTGGGGAGGAGCTGTGGTGGGGCCACCCCACCGTGGCAGGAACCTAGATTAGGGAGAGCAGGAGGCCAAGTGTGAGGAGCTGGCTCCGGGTGGTTCTTCACCCTGTGTCACTCGGGACGCCTGGGTCAGGACAAGCCATGGTTTGCAGTGCAGTGGCTTCCAGGACATTCACAGCACTCCCAGAGACATCTACCAGGTGAGACAGCCAAGTTCTGTGGGCCTGACTGCTCAGAGGGATAAGGTAGCTGAGACAAAGGGCGCTTGCTGTCAGCCCACCCAACCCCTCCACCTCCCAGCCGTGCCCTCTGACCCCTCTCCTGACCAGGCTGGAATACTCACCTGGCTGGGCTGCCATTCCCTGTCCATTGCTGTAAACTGGGGAGGAAAAGCAGTAAATGAAGGGCAGGATGGGGGTGGAGGGAAGGACAGGGGAGGCAGGGGAGAACGGAAGGCAGGAGTGAGGGGGGCTTTCTCACTTGCCTGTCTTCGGAGGTTTCATTGCCCCTCCCAGGCCTGGTGGAGACAGAGAACCGATCACATACACACACCCTCCCCTGGGAGTGAAGCTCTGTCCCACCACCCTACCCCCCACACTCACCTGTGAAGACCCCCAGCCTGTTCTCTGGCATGTACCCTGGGAGGAAAGCAGGCTATGAGAACCGGGCTACCACTGGGTGTGGAAATAACAAGGGAGTCAGAAAGAGGGACAGGAAGGGCCTCACCTGGCTTCAGAAGCTGCCCAGGCCTGAGGTGAGATGAACAGAGCATGGGGGACCCCCCCCACCCCTTCCCAGGACCATCTGTGCCTAAGGTGCCTTCTTCCCCTTTCTGTGCCCCTTACCTGGCTGTGGTCCTTTGCCTTGGAAGGCTCTAGTTCCCAGCCCATTTCTGTACCCTATGGAGACAAATGGCGTTACCCCTCCTCTAAAGACCTTCCTCTGATCTATGTCTAGCATCTGACCTACACATCTATGCCTCCTCCCCTTCCTGGTCCATAGCTGATGGGAACTGCAGGGTCTAGTGAGCGGAGAGAGATGGAGGACAGGTTTTGCAGAAGCCAGGGGTCCCTTCGGGTAGGTCCTAGAGTGAGTATCTATCCACTTGCTTCCTCTGTTCGACTTTCCCAGCCCCTCGCCTGTTACCCCTCAAGCCCCTAGGACCTGCTTATCGCTGTTCTGAACTGGGAGGAGGAGGGAGAAGTGAGCGGAAGATGGAACTACATTAGAGAGGAAGGAACTTTGGCCTCCCCTTTAGTGAGGCCAGAAGCTAGAGACTCCTTTGAACCTGCAGACCTGACGGGGGACAGTGACTGGACACCAAATACAAACTCCCTTACCCAGCTGGACTCCATGACCATGTCCATTCCGAAATCCTGGGGATACAGATGGAGGGGAGCATTAAAGAGGGAGGGAAGTTTGGGGGGGGAAGCAGATAGGTGGAAATTCAGGTTAGAGCTGGCCGCACCTGACTTCTGGGGCTTCATGTCTGTTCCATAGTCTGAAAGAGATACAGAGTACAGGTGAGGGATGCTGGGTCCCCTACCTCTGGGCCTCATAAGCCTACCCTGCTCCTACCTTGTCTGTAGCCATTTTGAGCAGCAGGGCCTATGGGAGGACAGGGAAGATGCTATAGATGGGCCGTGGAATAAGAGGCCAGAATGAGGGGTCCTTTAGTGTCTCTCACCTCCCTCCCTGGCTTCATAATCCCCAGCATTCCTACTGATTTACATATTTCCTTCATAGGAACTAAGGCCAGACTCCTTGAAGACAGGCCTAGGAGACCCCTTCCCACCATGATCTGAAGGACTAGGGTGGTGAGGACAGAGATAAGGAGAAAGAACATATCCTCACCTGGCTTCTGAGGCTTCCCTCCTACTCCTACATTTGGCAAGAGACAGAGAGGGGCTGACTGGCGTCCCCTCAACCCTCTGTCCTCCTGATATCTGTCCCTAACCCTCCTCCCCATCTGCCCAGTTTCCCAACATCACCGTAAGACATACGCCCAGGAGACCACACCTGGCAGGGCATCCGGTCCATTTCCATTCCCATAACCTGGGGAGAAAGGGGATGGGGTGAGACGGGGCCTCCAGAGAAGGGGCCAGGGGGAATAAGGGCTATCCCCTCCTCTGGTGAAGGAAGACACAGGACCTAAGCCTCAGGCTAGACCGCCCATCTTCCCACCATCCAGTCAGGCTCTTTAAGAGGCCCGTCTGTGCTGTAGGTCCTCATCTTTCCTGTCCCAGTCCACTGTCCCAGAGAGGGAGGCATGGTAGCGTGATCATGGATCCAGGGGGCGTGGTCAGGGCCCTGTGCTGGCTGGCTCTGTCAACTTGACACAGCCTGGAGTTTCTGGGAAGAGGGACTCTGAACTGAGAAAATGCCTGGGATTTATTTATTTATTGTTCATTTATTTATTTATTCATTTATTTATTTATTTATTGTGTATACAGTATTCTCAGTATTCTGTCTGCATGTATGCTTGCAGGCCAGAAGAGGGCACCAGATCTCACTACAGATGGCTGTGAGCCACCATGTGGTTGCTGGAAATTGAACTCAGGATCTTTGGAAGAACAAGCAGTGCTCTTAACCACTGAGCCATGTCTCCAGCCCTGTGGAGCATTTTCTTGATGGTGACTGGTGTGTGAGGGCCCAGCTCACTGTGGGCGGGGCTGATGGTCCTAGGTGCAGAGAGAAAGCAGGCTGAGGAAGCCTAGAGAAGCAAGCCAATAATCAGCACTCCTCCATGGCCTCTGCCTTAGTTCTTGTCCTGTCTGCCCTTCATGACGGACTGTGACCAGGACATCGAAGCCTAAATAAAACTTTTCCTTCCCAAGTTGCTTTGGCTATGGTGTCTTTTTTTTTCTTTCTGGTTTTTCGAGACAGGATTTCTCTGTGTAACAGTGTAGACCAGGCTGGCCTTAAACTCACTGAGACCGTTTGCCTCTGCCTCTACCTCCAAAGTACTGAAATTAAAGGCACGTGCCACCACATGCCACCGCCCGCCCTGGTCATGGTGTTTTATCACAGTAATAGAAAACTAAGGCAGGGACAGACCCAAAGTAGACAGGACTCACCTGGCTTCTGGGGTTTCCTGCCACCTCCAAAACCTGTAGGAGACACACACATCTGGCAAACTCTGCTTGCTCACCCCTGCCCCATACACACACTGTATAAAAGTCTGCCAGTCCTTTCTGGACCCCTGCCTGCCTATGCCAAATCCATTCTGGGCTGCCAGACCTGTGTGAAGGGGGAAGTGTAGGATGTGGGGTTCGACTGAGGTGGAGGTGCAACTTTTCTCTTGTACAAAACTAGAACTCTAGAGTCCTGGAGGCCTGCTCTCAGCACCCCCTCAATTCTGTACCAACTCTGTCCCTCCGAGGCCTGGGAGGGGAGCACAGAAGGACACCCCAGATGTGGGTCCCTCAGGTCCTTATCTCACCTGACTGGACTCCCAGTCCATTATCATTCCCAAACCCTGGAGGGATAAGTGAAGGTGGAGACAGTTCAAGAGGGAGCACTATTGTGGAGATGGTTCAAGAGGGAGCACTATTATGGAGATGGCTCAAGAGGGAGCACCATTATGGTGGAGATGGTTCAAGAGGGAGCCCTATCATTGGCGGGAGACAGAATCATTGGCGGAGTGAATACCACCTGCCTTCTGGGGTTTTGCATGCGACCCAAAACATGATAGAGAAATGGGGATCAGTCAGGACTCCAGGAATGCCTCTCTTAGAATCCTAGTACCCTGGTTGTAACTCCTCCCAGATTTTTTGGTGCCTTACCTGGCTGGGCTGCAGGTCCAATTCCGTTCCCATTGCCAAATCCTGGCAGACAGTGGTAAAGAGTAAGGAGAGGCCAGGCTATGCAGAGGTGAGCAGGCCGTACAGGGGCATGGGGACAGGGAAGACCTCACCTGACTTTGGAGGTTTCACGCCCACTCTGATAGCTGAGGAAGAACCAGAAACTAGGTGAGGAACTGAGAGTTCCACAGAACCCCAGCCCTAGCACACACCCCGATTCCTTCATCCCCTCCTGTACCTACTCCATGGCCATTCTGAGCTGGAGGACCTGGGGCAAAGGGCAAGGTGAACAAGGGGTAAAGGGCAAGGTGAACAAGGGGTAAAGGGCAAGGTGAACAAGGGGCAAAGGACAAGGTGAACAAAGGCAAGGGCCCCCAGTCAGCCCCCACTTCACAGTCATGCAAAAAACCAGGGTTCCTGAGGACTTGCCCAACCTTCCTCCTCAATGGCTGGCCCTGTCCTCTGAAATCTGAGAGGGAAGGTGGGCTGTGGGCACATAGACCCCCCCCCAACACAGCCCACCACCCTCACCTGGCTGGGCTCCCAGGCCAAGTCCATTCCCGTTGCCGAATCCTGGGGGCAGAGAAAAGTGTGCATGAAGGGGAATTCAGGGCCCGGGGAGAGACTGGCAGAGGAACAGGTCAGGACAAGGTTTCAGAAGGAAAGAAGATCAAAGTGAGGGACCTGGGATTCCCACTTGGGGGCCTCCCAAGGAGCCCAGCCTACCTGGTCCATAGCCATTCTGTGGTGCAGGACCTAGTAGGGGGGAAAAAGAGACTAAATATCAGGCTTCTTTCTGAAATTCTACCCAAGGCCTGGAGCTCCATCTCCATCCACCCACAGACAGTTGTGCAAGGGTCCTAGCATGAGTCATACTGTGTGCTCTCTTCTTATACCTTCCTTGTTTTCCTTGCCCCACCCTGAGGCATCCAATCCTCGTGGCCTGAGTATTCAGACCCACAGTGCTTAAGGCAGTCCTGCCCTGAATCTGTCCCCCAGGTCTGGCTCTGGCAGTCCCTCACTTTCTGCCCCCTTTCTGTCCTCTGCTGTTCCTCAGTCTCTTTCCTGGGTTCCTTTCTTCTACTCATGTTCTAGAAAGTGATGGTTCTGTCTTCTGTGATGTGCCTTTAACCTCCTTCTTAGGTCTTGCCTCTCGAAAGCTCTGGATGCCATCTCTCTCCTTCATATACATTATTTTCTGCGTTCTTGGCCCCTCAGCTGTTTCTAGGGCCCGCAACCTCTTTCTGTGGACGTCTCTACCATGATTCTCTGGTCTCCACCGGTTTTTAGTGAACCACAGCAAACTTCCCTGTTTCTACTTCCTCTGTCCTGGAATGCTCAGGGTGGCTCTCGTGACAGCCTCGGTGCCAAGCCAATGTCCTATCTGTTTTCCCATCATGCCTTGGGCTCCACACCTGACCAGACCAGAAGGGGTGTGGTTTGTTGAATGAGTGTTTGCTGTGTGAGGCTAAATCGGAAAGTAAGCAGCTGGGTCTCACCTGTCTTGTGGGGTTTTGGTCCTTCTCCAAGGCCTGGGGAAGGAGAGAGACTTTTAGACCTCCACCTGTGCACTCCCTCCCAGGCGTGTGTGTTGAAAAAATCACAGTGCTTCACCTGGCTGGGCTCCAGTTCCTGGGAAGGCCCCAGCACCCAGCCCATTTCCATTCCCAAGTCCTGGGGAAACAGTGAGAGAAAATGAGATTGCGGGTCAGGAGAAATGCGGGGATGTAAGCCCAAGGATGGGCGCCGTAAGAGCTCATCTGGTTTCCGGGGTTCTCCAGCCCCTCCAAAGCCTGGATGAGACGCATAAGGGAGGTACCCTCATTTCTGAGCTGACACAGGAGGTGCGGACGCTCTTATACGGGAACGAGGCTGATGCTGGGCAGCTCCTGGCTCCACCTGCCCTGTCCATGGACCTGTTCTTCACTCTTTCCTTCCCAGTTGGATCTTTACTTCTTTTTTGTTTGTTTGTTTGTTTTAAGACAGGGTCCCATTCCGTGTAGCCCTAACTGGTCTGGAACTCTTTATGTAGAGTAGGCTGGAGAGCTCATGGATACTTCTCTGCCTCCTGAGTGCGGGATTAAAGACCCTCATCATTAGCCAGGTAGTCGTGGCACAAGCCTTCAAGTCCAGCACTCAGGAGGCAGAGGCAGGTGGAATTCTGAGTTCGAGGAAAGCTTGGTCTACAAGAGTGAGCTCTAAGAAAGCCTGGGTGACACACACCACACACACACACACACACACACACACACACACACACACACACACACACAGAGGCCCTTATCACTAAGCTCAGTTTTATCAGACTGGCCCCTAAGTTACTATTAGCCCAGGGTGACCTTGATAGAAGGTCTCTACCTCCCAAATCCTAGGATTACTTGTGCCACCATGCCCTGTTTTCAGGTTGTTTTTTTTTCTCTGTTAGTTGTTGTTTGATTGGTTGGATTTTCAAGACAGAGTTTCTTTATGTCATCTGGGCTGTTCTGGAACTAGTTCTGTAGACCAGGCTGGGCTTGAACTCATAGAAATCAACCTGCATCTGCTTCCAGAGTGTTGAGATTACCTGCGTGAGTAACCATCACCTGACGATGCTGTTTTTTGAGACAGGATTTAGCTTTGTAGCTCAGTCTAGCCTGGAATTCACTGCGTCTCCCAAGCTGATCTGGAACTCTTGTTGCTCCTGCCTTGGCCTCCTGAGCTCTGGAATTACAGGTGTGAGCCACCATGTCCTACAGAAGTTTTGGGTCTTGGTCCATAAAGTGAACTCTCCAGTCTGTGTGTAGTTGAACTAGGGCTACCTTGGTGGTGTCCATAGGGCTCAGCACCAGGTCTGGCTCAGGGACACATTTGGGAGATTGGTTAAATGAATGTGACCTCCTAAAAACCTTGCCTTAGGGTCCCCAGGTGAGCCCCCCACTTGCCTCTCCACCAGGGCACTTACCTGGCTGAGCCCCCAGACTGTTTCCATTGCTGTATCCTAAACGGAAAACTGGATGTGACCCGAGAGTTTGAGGAGTAGAAAAAAGACGGTCGCCGGTGGGTGGGGACAGAGTCAGGAGGACAGTGGGAAGAACAGGGGCCTGCTCACCTGGTTTCTGAGTCTTCGTGCCAGCTCCCAAGCCTGGGGGAGACCCAGGGAAACTAAGCCACATGCAGACCCCACACTGCTCCACTTATCCCAGGAATCAACTTTCTTGTTTCTTTTCTTTTTCTTTTTTTTCAGTACTAGAGATTAAATTTGAGGCCCAGTGCACACTGGGGAAATGCCCTACCATTGAACTATATCCTAGGTCATCTTTTACTTTTATTTATTTTAATCTATTTTAAAATTCTTTGACAATTTTATTTATGCATTTCGTGGATTTTGGTTATTTTCACACACACACACACACACGCACACAAACACACTCATACACATGCACACAAACACATACACACACTATTATGTTCTCTTTTTCCCTTCCCATCCTCCTCCTACTAATTTTGTGTGTATGGGGTAGGGAACAGGGTCTCCCTGTGAAGCCCTGGCTGTCCTGGAATTCAATCTATAGACCAGGCTAGTCTCAAACTCAGAACTCCTTTGGCCTCTGCCTCCCAAGTACTGGGATTAATATGTGTGCCACTACTACCCGGTCCCCTATTTATTTTTATATATTTATTTATTGAGAAAGTCTTACTATGCAGCCCTACCTGGCTTGGAACTCTATATACATCTACCAGGCTGGCCTCAAACTCACAGAGATCAACCTGCCTCTGCTTCCTGAGTGCTGAGAGTAAAGATGTGCCCACTTTATTTAGTTTTGGAGACGAGGTCTCATGTAGGCCGATCAGGCCTTGAGTTGCCTATGGAACTAAAGTTGATCTTGAACTCTTGGTCTTCCTACCTCTGCCTCTCAAATGCTGGAATTATAGGTCCATATCATGAAGCTCAGTCTACGTGGTTCTGGGGCTCCAACCCAGACCTTGACCTGTGCTGGACTAGCCCTATTCCAGCTGAGGGACATCACCGGTCTCTACCCCTTCTTTCTGGGACAGGAGCTCATGAGCTTTTCAGCCTGGCCTTGAACTCTCTCATCAGCCCAGGCAGTCCTTAAACTTCCAGCCATTCTGTCTCAGTGTCCAAGTATCTGAGATCACAGGTCTGTGCTCCAAGACTTGATCCCAGAAATAACCATCTCCTCCTTTATAATGAAGCCTTGACTGGCCCAGAACTCACAGAAATCCACCTGCCTCTGTCTCCTGAGTACTAGAATTAAAGGCACACACCACACTGGGCCACAGAAAACAGCTTTGCTCTCCCAGACCATGACCTCCCCTAGATTCTCCCTTACCCTCATCTCCAGATCCCCAGTTTGGCCCAGGTACCCTCACCTGGCTGGGCTCCAACTCCAGGGAAGGCACCAACTCTGATTCCGTTCCCATTGCCATACCCTGGGAGACAGCAATAAAGAGTAAGGGGTGAGTGGGCCACACAGGGACATTGGGACAGAAGGCAGACCTCACCTGGCTTTGGAGGCTTCATGGCCCTTCTGATGGCTGAGAAAGAAAGAAGGACTAGGTAAGAAATTCAGAGCTTCCCAGAACCCCAACCCTAGAACATACCCCCCAAATCCTCCCATCTCCTCCTTTACCTGGTCCATGGCCAGTTTGAGGTGCAGGGGCTGTGGGCAGAGAGAGGCAGTGGCTGCAGCCAGGCCAGTAGGAGGCTAGATTGAGATGGTCCAGACCACTCCCATGGTACCTACCCCAGACATTTGTGGCCCAGGCCCCCAGCAGTTCTCTTAGGGAATGCCCAAAGATCAGCCTAGAAGACTTCCCTAGACTGGAGACTACTTCTCAAACAATAGGTCTGGCAGGCCAGTGAAGGGACCTGCCCTTGGGAGGTAGTGCAGGGACAGAGATGGAGACAGGGAGAGATGAAACCTAGAGATGACAGAGTTGAGTCAGAGATGCAGCATAAGAGGGAGAAAGAAAGAGCCTGGCAGTGGTGGCGCACGCCTTTAATCTTAGCACTCTGGAGGCAGAGGCAGGTGTATCTCTGTGAGTTCGAGTTCGAGGCGAGCCTGGTCTACAAGAGCTAGCTCCAGGACAGGCTCCAAAGCTACAGAGAAACCCTGTCTTGAAAAATCAAAAAGAAGAAGAAGAAGAAGAAGAAGAAGAAGAAGAAGAAGAAGAAGAAGAAGAGGAAGAGAGAGAGAGAGAGAGAGAGAGAAAGAAAGAAAGAAAGAAAGAAAGAAAGAAAGAAAGAAAGAAAGAAAGAAAGAAAAAGCAGAGTAGGAGAAAGGCAAGGGGCAGGCTTTTCTCTTGCCTGGCTTCCTGCTTCTGAGGTCTCATGCCCCCTCCTATGCTAAAGACAGACATAACAAGGTTGATATCCCTTGCCCTCTGAGCCTTCTTCACCACCCCACAGTAACTTCACAATCCTGCCTCAGTTACTCTCACCTGGTGGCCCTTCCTGCTTCAGGGCCCTACTGATGCCCAAGCCATTTCTGCCATTAAATACCGAGGAAAGGGTAGCAGGCCATCGGTGGGCATGTTTGGAGGACATAGGGAGTCATGGGCAGAGATGGAGCTAAGATATGGGCAGGACAGGATCTCCAACCCCTGAACTTGGCAATCCCCTCCCAGGCCTGAGTCAGATGGAGAACTGAGCCCTGCTCTTCTTTCAGAACCAGCTTCTCTCCTTTTGGTCCCAGGGTCCTTACCTGGCTGAGTTCCTGTCCCTGCAAAGACTCCAGCTGCCAGTCCAGGTCCATATCCTGAGGTGAAAGAGTCAGAAAGAAGAATAAAGAGGGGATGTGGGCATTGGGCTGAAAGAGGACCCGGCATGGAGAGGGCTCTCACCAGGCTTCTGGGGCTTCATAACTCCTCCAAAGCCTGAGGAGAGAGTCAAGGCAGATGATGCGACCCCAGGGACCAAGCCTCCCTCCTGGGATCTCAGTTCCATAGCCTTTCTGAACTGAGAGGCCTAAGGCGGTGTCTGGGGCTCAGTTGAAATGGTGGTGAGACAGGGTTGTCTGTTCTCTCCTCCCCACACCTGACGCCAGAGGTTGTCATGGTCTCTCTTGCCTGCCTTTCCTAAGTCACCAGCTCTGTCTCTTTGAGGTCCAGGGGAACTAACCTAGTGGTACCACACCCCCAAATGGGAACACCCCCACTTTTCTACACCTCACCTTGACAGGACGCTATATCTGGGCAAGCTCCTGCTTCTAGACCATTGGCATTACTAAACACTACGGAGACAGGGTAGGGCGTCAGGGAGGTACGGAGTTGGGGGGTACTATAGAGAAGGACAAATATCACCCGGGGAAGGCTCACCTGGCTTTGGAGGTTCCATAACCCCACCAACACCTGAGAAAGAGATGAAGGTCAACTGAGGGTCATAGAACTCCTCCTTCCTAGGGACAGCCCTTGGTTCCCAACCCCCCCATGGCAGCCCCACCTCTACCTGTTCCATAGCCATTTTGAGCTGGAGAGCCTGTGAGGTGAGAAAGGGTTGAGTGGAGGAAGTGTGGGGTCCCAGCTGAAGTGGGGGAGCCTCGAAACTCTTCTCTGAGACCAAGATAGAAACTGACAACCCTAAATGTTTCCTCAGCCCCTGTCATCCACCAGTTCTTGTCTGAGGCCACAGAAGAAGGCCTCCAAATGCTGACATCCTCCCACCCCATGGTGCTCACCTGACTGGGTGTTGCTGAGTCCTGGTTAGATGGATGGAGGAGAGGGGTGTGGGAAAGAGAGACAGAAAGACAGAGAGCTAGGTTGGTAGAGCTCACCTGGCTTTTGAGGTTTAGCATCTCCAAAGGCTGGGGAGAAAGAAAACAGGTGAGCACCGAGGACCACCAGGCCGAGGGTCTCCCAGAACTACCTGTTGTTCACATAGTCATCCTCAATGGCTACTCCCACCTTCTGGGCTAGGCTCAGATCAAAGGATGTGAAGGAGTGGACATAGCACGAACCATCCTTCCCTTGCGTCTCCTGCTGAGCATCTACCCAGTACCTAGTGTCCATTCCTAATTTCCTTACTCTTTTCTTAGGGTGGGGACAGGGGTGGGACAGTTTTACTCTGTAACCCAGGCTAGCCTAGAACTTACTATGTAGTCCAGGCTGAGGAATTCTCAGTGATCTTCCTGCCTCAGGTTCTGAGTTTGGGGCTCCCTGGCGTGAACCACCGTGCCCAGTTAGTTTTCTGTTTGCCTGTATCTGCTTTCCCTGCTGCTGTCTGGCCCTTCTTCCTGGGGGAGTGTCCTGCCCTGACCCTCAAGTTCTCACTGCAGCTCACCTGTTCCCAGTCCACGGGAGGGGCTGTAGCCTGAAGGAGAAAGGAGAAGTTTAGTCTAGGGACGGGCAGAAGGGCAGGAATCTCTCTGGGCCACTGCCTACACCTCTGACAATTCAACCTTGTATGTAACCATTTTGGATTGCCAAAGCCTGTTGGGTTGGGGAGAATTTAGAAGGGAGCCAGGAGGGCTAAATGTGGATGTCTCGTCTCTTTCTGAACCCCAGTTTCCCCTCTGGTCACAAGAGATGTAAGGACAGAACCAGAGGAACAGTCTGGGATTAGGGCACTTAACGTTGGGTTCCTGACTCCGTTTGCTCTCCTCCTCACCTGTGTATATAGCCCTTCTTTCCCATCAAAGATCCTTACTTTGCGCCCTTCCCTTCCTCAATTCCTGTCTTCATCCAGTCTCAGGGATTTGTCCTCCTACCCTGAGGCCTCTTCATGACCCTCAGTCTCACCTCCCAAGCCTGAAGTACCTCTGCTTTAGGTCACTGGTCACTGCTGGGCCCCACCTTAGCACTCTGCCTTTTCTGCCACCAGAACCTCCTCCCTCCCTTTTGTCACAGCCTGCTCTCCATTCCAGACAGGCTCCAGGCCCCTCTTCTAGTGGCCCCATGTTCTCAGGGGCAAAACTCCCAACTCCTCCAATTGGATAAGTGTCTGAGCGTCCCACTGTCAAGCACACATTGCTAATGTCACTAGTTGGGAGGAGACTCCATGTTCTTCTGTCCTCCATGTCTGCAGTTCCAGAGCTGGGGGACATCTAAGGGAGGTCCTAGAAAGCTCCGAAGGTCCCTGTGGTCAAACAGTGCCCAGAGGACTACTTACCTTTCCCCAGGTTGGGAGGGAGTCGGGGCAGTCCTAAGGAAGGAAAGGGTGTTATTCAGGGCTGGGATCTCAGAAACGGAAAGGAGGCAAGACCCCGATCTACCTTTAATGCCCCGAAAACCCTCTTCATCTGAATGTTCTGCCTGCCTAGGCACCCCTAGCCCCAATGCCCCCTGCCCCCTGATTACTCCAGAACTCAAGCTTCTTTTTATGGGAGCTTATGTATCCCAGACTAGCCTCAAATTTGCTGTGTAGCCACATAACTATGAATGATCTTGAACTTTCTGGTTGCACTGTTAACACTCTACCAACTGCACCCCATCTCCACCTCGGGGAACCCAGGCATCCAACCCATGTTCTCCGTCCCAGTCCCCGCTGCCGGGATCCTCCCCAGAAGCCCACCCTCACCGCCTTGTAGGCTCTCAGAAGTCAGGCACAGCAGTAAGTGGGTGATAGGAAAGACCCAGATGCCCATGATGTCTGGGAGTGGGAGGACTCAGCACCCTTCTGCCTTTAAACAGCTTTACTGGGAGGTTCCTTTACACGGGACCCCCAACTGTGAGAGGTAGAGGCTCTGTTTGCAGACCCCAGGAGTCCAGACCAGGGGTTCCCCCTGGAGTAGAACAGGCGCCTGGTCCTCTGGGCCTCGCTAAAATGTATTCCCTCATCCATCATTGGTGCTGACAGCTGGGATAGGCCTCCCTGGGGCTCCTCCACCCCAGTCAGTGACTCTGGTCCTGGCATCAGGCCTGAAGGGTTCAGATGTCCCCCCAGCTGCTGGGGAGGAGCAGACTGGCACTGTAGACTCAGCCCAAACACAGCTGTGGAAAAGGAGGAAGCAGGGCCAGAGATCTGCGCATGGCTGGCACAGAGCTCTGGGAAAGTGGTAACTGTTGCTAGAAAGGCAAACGGGGGATGCAACAGTGTATCAGTCTTCACGGAGGAGACAAGTTATGGTCCTGTCTGATCCAGCTGGGGATCACTAGAAACAGATCTTTGTCCATGACTGAGGATTGACTTGCTACAGGGGCATCCTCTGCCCCTCCTCATTTCATGAGGGACAACTGGACATAGGGACAGATTACTCTGTTTTCTGCTGTCTTGTTCTTCTTTTTCTGCATTGACATCAGGATCTACTGCTTAGGATGGGTGGGGTAGGCTGTGCAGAGGTGCCTGAAGGCTTAGAGCACCTTTCATTCCTAGGGCCTGGCACATGAACCTGGAGCTGGGCTTGATGCAGGGGGCCTGGTAGGGGGTATTTAAGAGAGGCCAGCCAGGGTGAGATCTGGCCAATAAGTGCCCCCACTCCTCCTAGAGTGAATCTGTGGACCCCACTGAGCTGGCTGAGGATGGCATTCACAGCCCCTAGCCCCTGTACTCAAGCCAGAAAACCCCGTATCTTGTCTTTCTGTTGACTCTTCCCAAA